ATATTGTAAATAATGTACATAATGCCTCATTTCAGAAATATAGACAGATATTGTAACCCAGTGTTACTTTTTTCGTGTGCTGCTCTATTAATCAATAATAATAATAATAATAATATTAATAAATTGATCACGTCTGTCCCGACAAACCGTATTTACACTTTTTTCGAAGCAAACATTCTTCCACTGGAACTGAAGAGATGCAGGAGATGTTCATATGGTTGCAAAGATCAACTACTGATAAACAAAATGATCCTGAAAAATTGCAGGAGACGATGCAGAAATCTTAGCGCAGCGTGGATTGATTATCGTAAAACCTTTGATAATATGCCACATTCTTGGATCCTTAAGACTTTGGAAATGTACAAAGTCTCCCCTGTGGTAGTAACTTTCCTTAAGAACAGCATGGGATTGTGGAACACCACACTATACCTAAATCACACGAGAGGCACTACCATCTCCTACCGTCTGAGTATCCGACGTGGAATCTTTCAAGGAGACTCCCTGTCACCCCTTCTGTTTTGTTTGTCCTTAATCCCCTTTACGCACGAACTAAACAACAGTAGCTATGGTTACAAAATAAATAAGAATATATTCAATCACCTATTCTACATATTCAAACTCTTAGCCAAAGACGACAATGAGTTGAAGGGTCTCCTCAATATCGTAAAATATTTCAGTGACGATATAGGTATGGATTTCGGATTAGATAAATGTGCAAAAGAAATATTCAAGAAAGGGAGAATTACAGAAATACACTCAATAGAATTGAGAATGTTTTGACACAAAGATTGGGGAAATGAAACAAGATGAAGCTTAAAAGTAAGAATTAGCGCAGAAGATGGTATACAACATACCCAAATGAAGGAGAAGGTAAGAATAGAGTACTACAGGCGTGTGCGTCTGGCACTGAATACCAAGCTGAATTCAAAAAAACAGAATACCATTCATAAACACCTTGGCTGTCCCTGTGGTGCAATACAGATTCAACATCCTTAACTGGACCATAGCTGACATTAAGCGAATGGACGCCCAAACAAGAAAGCTTCTTACTTGCTACCGCATGCATCAAAGCTGCTGCATGATTGTCTGTATGTGCCCAGATCCGAAGGAGACGGAGGATTAGTTCAACTAGAACATTCTTACAAGATTACAACAATTAGCCTTCAACGATACCTGGAAACTACGGAAGACTGGATGGTGATATGTGTCAAAGAACATGAAAGTAGTAAGCGACTTTACTCCGTAATACAGGAAGCCAACAATTTCAAAATGGAGTTTCAAATGGGTGTAGAAATACAAGTAAAGCAAATACACCGACTCAAGCTGCAAAATACTTAAAACGAAAACAAAAGAAAAATGCAGCTGACCAGATACAGAAACGATGGCAAGATAAACCGCTTCACGTTCAATACTCTGCACGTACCAAACAAGCTGATGGAAAAAAAACCCTGTACACATCAGTGGCTACGGAGTGCAGGGTTAAAAGCTGAAACCGTATCCTGGCTGCACAGGACCAATGTTTATTAACTATTAGGTTGGTGCAAAAATAATGACGTAATAATGTCATTTTGTGACGTATTTTTAACCTCAAAAAACGACATTATTACGTCATTATTTTTGCACCAACCTAATAGAAATTATCAAGCACACGTACTGAAATATTGTGTTAGCCCAAAATGAAGATTCTGTAATAAATATCCAGAAACAATTGGTCATCTCGTATTAAGTTGCACGGTATTGGCACCCACTGAGTATAAAACTCGGCATGACAGAGTGGGCCAATATCTGCACTAGAAAATCAGCAGCTTCTACGTAAAAGAAACTGAAAGAAATTGGTATGAACACCACCCAAACCAGGTTACGGAGATAGAACCTGTAACAATTTTATGGGACTACACAATACACACAGAGAGAACAATCAAAGCTAATCGCCCTGGCATCGTTATTAAAGACTGCAAAGAGAAAATGCGCTTCCTTATTGACATTACAGTCCCTGCAGGGTGCAATGTACCTTTGAAGATCTTCAAGAAGCTATCAAAATACAAGGACCTTGAAATTGAAATCTCAAAAATGTGGCACATGGGAACATCAACAATCCCTGTTGTAGTTGGAGCCCTAGGATTGATTGGAAAAGATTCCAATAGACTCATTGAAGGGATTCCTGGTAACCCATGCCTTAAAGAAATACAAAAAATTGCTTTCACAATTACAGCCCACACTTTACGAAGGACTTTATCTATGTAAAATATGTGCGATTTTTTTTTCAAAACTGCTCAGTGGAAAATGTCATGATACCATTTCTAACCTTATGTCTCTGGTCAGATCCCGGAAAGAAATGAGTATACACCAGAAACTAAGGGAAATAAAAGATTAATAATAATAATAATAATAATAATAATAATGCTTATTGACATAGCAGTACCATCTAAGAAAAACATCCCCTTAAAAATTATCGAGTAATTGTCCAAATACAAAAACCTGGAAATCGAGATTAACTGGCTGTGGGGAATGAAGACTGAAACTATACCAATAGTAATCGGAGCACTGGGCCACGGGAGAAAAGGAAAGGAAAATGTTACTAACAGTGTCCTAGATAACATCAGTTACCCAGAAGACTGTCCTACTAGGAACATCTCATATACTAAGAAAAGTACTATCAATTAAATGACAATTCTCCTATAGGGCTTAAGGACCATAGTTTGGACACGGCTTTACAGGATACAAAGCAAGAAACATACACAAATAATAATAATAATAATAATCACTTGCTAGCAACATTATCATGGCGATTCATTGTTAATATAATAATATTTATTGACTTGAGAAAAAAGGACACATGGTTGGCGATATATAAAGACAGCCTTAGGCTAAAATACAAGAAACTTGCTTGATGACTGAAGCATCGTTATTACAAACAGTATCATAGCTCAACCAAGAAAATTGGTTTCGAATGGTGATTTTTCACTACAAGTCGATCCTTCCCCCTTTTAAGACCTGCGCAGCACAATCTTCCTATTCGACATTCGAATTAACTAAGCTCGGTAAATATCTATGAACTTTTTTCTGACGTTTCATCATTTTACAATCCATCTTCAGTTATTGATTGATTGATTTGTTTTCTACGGTTTATCAACCTATTGCAGGTTATTTAAAGCCAGAAATATTTTTAGTAAAATTTTTTAAGATGAACATGATTTAATGATACAAGTCTTACTAATTAACTCATGGCTGGATGAAAAGAGGTGGATTAATATCTTTTCAAAGGGTATTTTTTCGTAAGGAAATATAACGAACCTAACTGGAATTGAAACTTGGTTCTCTGATTAAGAAATTCCGAGTCATTATCTATCACACCACCCGCACATCCAAGTTTACAGCATCTAGTATTTCTAAGCGGTCGCCAATCTAAGCAATGACGAAACTTGACGTTGTTTAATTTCGGTGATCGTAGGAGAAGCAGCTTTTCAACGTGATATGAGTGTAAGCCTCATCGTTAGTGAGATCGAGTCTAATTTATATTCATTGAAATGATAGAGATTACAGGTTACCAGTCATAGGGTGATATATGCAAGACCCAACACATGTATTCAAGTGCTGACATATTTTCTAATGCCAGAAATCTTCTCTGGGGGCAAGTAACGTCCTCAAGTAATATACTTCATAACCGTAAGTTCTATGTTAATAGTTTCTTCCCTTTCGCTTCTCGCATGTGGAACTCTCTTTCGATTTCTTGCTTCCCTACTACCTACGGTCTTCAAAACGATTGATTCAATGTCAATCGCCATCTTCCATCTTCCTGAATCCTATCATTTTATTGTCCTTTGTCCCTATTAACATATTTTCATTCTCTTCCGCTCCCTTTACACCTATACAAATGGTATTTTCGCATTGCTTGGGTGAGTTTATTAAAAAAAAAATCTTGAATTCAGCAAATAAAAATATAAGAGAAGCAACATCATGACTATAGCGAGACTCAGTAGTGAAGTTCATCTTATCGAGTCGCTATACCACACCCATCCAGTGTTGCTCACAGTGCCTTGCCTAGGGTGTTTAGATTTGGGGGGTGTTAAGGTTTTTAGGTTGTTAAGTGCGCATGAATCTTTAAGAATGGGGCAAACTAGATATGCCATAGCTTGTGATTGCCCGCATTGGCAGCTGGGATCAACGATGAGGGCATATCTCTACCTCTGAAGGTTGGCTTTACAGCGACCAACAGCTGTTTGATGCGATTTAGGCAGAACCAGAAGGGCCAGGCAGCATTGAAGTCAGGAGGAGGTATCCTGTAGGACTGAGAGAGAGCCTGTATTCCCGTTGTTAAGGTGGCTGCATTACAGGGACAGACGCTAAGATCTTTGTTGTTCAGTGATTCGGCTGAATGTCAAAAGTTGTGTCTTTATTTGAGCCTTATTGTCATTGTCAGACGAGGGTCAATTTCCTGCTTGGGAGTGGCCTGTCGTTTTTAGTGATTTTCCAAGCGTAGCTTAGAAGTGGCACAAGGCCTAAAGTAGGGGGTACCCAGTGAGGATCGAACTCACTACTCAGTCGTAATTGTTCTAGCGAGACAAGCTTGCTAACCTCGAGGTGCCCCGTGGATTGTCGTTTTTATGTAAGAGGAAACAATGCCGCTAAACAAATAGAGGTCATTCACTTTGAGTGGTTTGAGACATAAAGTGATCGATCTGCAAGAGATGTTCAAGACAGGGTCGATTCACTTTGCGCGTGATGATCTACTCCACACTAGCGGGGCATATTCTGTTGTGGAGTAAGAAATTAAAGAAATTATCTTTTCTTATAAGGAAATAAAAAAAAAAATCGAATTTTAAAAATTGGTCTATAGTTCAATAAAAAAAAAAGTTTCTCGTTGAATTAGTGTATTTCTTATCATTTCAGATATTCTAATTTCAAAGACGAAGCCAAATTTTGATTACCAATTTTTTGCAAATAAATAAAAGAAAAAAAGAATTAATATTAAGTAAAAAAAAAAGAAAAAAAAGTAGACATCAATGTGTAAAGACACGGGCCAAACTTTCGAGACTTATTAAAAAAAAAAGAAAGAAAGAAAGAAAGAAAGAAAGAAAGAAAGAAAGAAAATACAGCAAGTCGCAAAATAGGTCGTTAGTAAATTTTCGATTAAGCTACATTTTTGCACATAAGTAAAACTACACGTGCAAAAAAATACGTATATTATATTTGTATCAACTTGCGTACGCGAGCATATTGTTTCATATAAAAACAAAACACCTTTATTTTTCTCTGCAGTTATTTTTTTTTCTGTTTTACAAAAAAATTTCAGGATATTTGTTTCCAAAAATAGGCGATGAACGGCTTGAAAACAAAATAAAAACATGTTTGAGTGGTTCTCGCTACGATACATACCGAGTAAAGATTGCTGTGTTAAAAATAGCAGATGACATAAAAATAAAACTGCCTAAGTTTTCAAGACAACAGTAGTTAGCAAAGAGAAAATCTCACCTGTGGTATTTGGAAGAGAGTTAAAATGCTAGACACGGCCAGGCTAAGTTTTGTCGTGTCGGCACCCACAACTCCTATTACGTCATAATACTCCGTGAAAAACTCCTCCCTTCGATCAAGACCTTTCTGATGGCTTTCCGTTGCTATAGTGATGTCCCTCTCTTTGTGGGTTGTGGGAAAAGAGGTAGAGTTGATGGAGGATACTGATGGGGATTCAGACGTTGTCAGAAATCCCGTCGAAGTGATGCTGGAAACGGAGATGTCGTCAACAGGTGGTGTGGAGTCAGTGGTCTTCGATGTAGTCTCAAAGTTCGAAACAGGGTGGCAAACGAGGGATTCTTGCTTGGCGTTGGCACTAGAGCCAGTGTTATCCTTCGTGCGCCTGATTCCACGTTCGCGCATCTCTTGTGGCATGAACTGGAGAGCTCTAGCCAAAGCCATTGTAGTGGACGTACAATCATCCAAAATGACGTACCCTAGCGTCACATTGTTGAGAATGTCTGTCCGCCTGTTGATGTTCTCTACAGCAAATTTAATCGCTTCAGCGAGTTTGACGCGTTGTGTGTAGTTCGCCTTGCCGCATGTCGTTATATCAATGGCATGGTGTAGCGAAATAACGCTTCCGATGTTTAAATCCCCTAATTTGATATTGTTCCCGGTGCTGTCTCCGCATTTTGTTCGTCGCTGGGACGATGTCCCTTCATCGTTGTTCTTTCCCGTTTGTAAATTCCGCTCCTTTGATACTCGGTAATGACTTTTCCCACTAACCCCATATGTATGATGTATGTTCAATGCGTACACGTAGCAAAGTCCGAGACAATAAAGTACAGTGAATGAAATCATCATTTGTGTGATTACGAAAATGCCTAAACGATTACAAGTTATTACAGACAGAGCCATACCAATAAGTTTCTCTGCTATGGTTGCTCACCACGATGTGACTGTTATTTAGTCCAAGGAGATCGGTGGTAATAGAGAGTAATCTCCTCACAACTCCGCGTAAATTCTTTTCTTCTTATTATTATTATTATTATTATTTGGATCACCGGTCAGTGGCTGACATTGCAGCTGTGTCCCACTGATGTTTTCAGCTAACTGTAGCGTATATTTCTGAATCAATGTCTTGACTGGGAGTTTCCACGTTGCTAACAGATGTCGCTTCACGTGAAAATCACATGTACCATTTTAAACTTCCAAAACTGGCCGAATTAATACAGAACAATATAATGCAGTTCCAATGACTGTCTAATCCATCAACTTAATGAACTGTTTAATATAGATTTTAATCCATATGTAAACTGTTTATTTAAATTAAATTCTTTTAGATAGAATTAATATAAATTTACCTTGGTTTCTGATATTCAGGGATCAGATTTATAGAATGGGAAGTATGACATAGACTTTTCTTTAAACACAAGAGTCTAAACATGTACATTCAATAGGAACGGACACATATTTAAATAGAGCTACATCTCGCCTTGTCCCCATTCATATCACTGTATTACATATAAGTTTATGCATATCTTTCTTAACAATATACACATTGAACAACAATGAAAGTCCATAACGTCCTATTTTTAAATGTTGTAGAAATTAATTGTTTTAAAACTAAGACATAATTAAAGTCCAGATAAACAAACCTTATCGAGATATTTAAAGGATATTCATACATTGAAGTGGCAGACTCTAATTGTATGTGTGCATGTATATGAAAGTGAATGGATCTGTACATGCATGCATACACGTGTGTATTAGTGTGCGTATAATGTGTGCGATGGGGTGTATGTCGTACTAACTGTGAAATATTAGTTTTAGGCTCAGTTCATTACTGAACCGAAAGTTTTTTTTGCAAAGAACAAGCCATCTCTTTGTAAGTAGCGGTTTTACAAGAATCCTTGTGTTGGTCATTTCACTAGTTTTACAAAATCCCATTTTTGTTCTCGTATATATTTTATAAGGAGAAAAAAGAGTTTTCTTTAATATTTTTACTTAGTTTAAAATATGGTGAAAATGAATTGTATATTATACGTAAATAAAGAATTTAATCCTATTCACTGAACATGCTTTAAAATATAATGTATATGTTCAAAATGACATTTGTTTACAGTGATGTTTGCTCTGTACTATGTCCAAGAGCCACTCGAGTTAGAGGTGTAAATATATTCAATACATGTTATTACAATATAATAATAATATATTCAATAAATGTTATTTCTTTATAATAATAATAATAATAATAATAATATATTCAATACAAGTTATTTTTGCATAATAATAATAATAATCAATACATGTTACTTCTATATAATAATAATAATATATTCAGTAATGTTATTTCTGTATAATAATACTATATTCAATACATGTTATTTCTATATAATAATAATATATTCAATACATATTATTTCTAGAAAATAATAATAATAATAATACTATATTCAATACATGTTATTTCTATGTAATAATAATAATAATAATAATAATAATAATAATAATAATACCTGATTTTTCGCTTAAATGTTTTAAATTAATCTTCTCCTGATTAAAGTTTTCTTTAGTCTGCTGTTGATTTGTACAATCAATTTTTGACACGTTACAATTTTAATCTCAAATGTTATTTCTCCTTTATTTTTAAGGCTTTAAGAAATACCTTTTTTGCATACATAAATTATAATCATTCCTAATTGTCTTTTAAATAGCAGATCATTAAAATGTTTAATACCCGAACTAATTGAGTTAAATCATTCAAATTATTTATCATAAAGCTTTATTATTGGTTGACAAATATAAGTACTATAAACAGGACATAAATAAATGAAGTTTAAGAAATTCGGATATTACATAAAATAACAACCTAAAATGTTCTTTCTGCCTGTGGGATTTCAGTTTCTCACTTCATAAATTTTTGTTTCGCTATTTGATAAAAAATACACGCTAGATACACGAAGGCAGATCAATAATTTCGTAGCCTGATATGTGGTTAGCTGAATTTTAATTCAAAGTTTTTACAGTATAAAGTTCGACAGACTTGAATAATTCTCACTAATGAAAAAGAAGAAAATTAAGAATAAGAATAAATAATAGTTGAGTAAAAAGATGCTTTTTCATTATATGGATTACTGATGTTCATGTGTATCTAGCGTAATAATAATAATAATAGCAATAATAATAATATCAAATTAGGAGACAACCTGGGAACAAGCAGGTGTTTCATCATAAAAGTTAAATTTAACAAAATATTAAACAATCGCTTGCGAGATATGATTCTAGCTTTGTAAAATTAGAAAAAAAGTCTACATTAACTTTTAAATACGTTTAATTATGGTATTATCTTACTTTATGTCTTTTCAATTTTGTTTTCCTTTTGATAATCTTTTTTTTTTTAATAGCATGTTAGTTGCATTTTGAGTTTTGTGAAAAGATAAAATATTCTTTTCCGAGAAAAAATAACTTAGGTTATTCTTGAATAATTAGTTTCGTTAAAAAACATAACAAAATATTAGCCTGTGTTACTTCCCTTTAATTATCACTGACACTCCCTGTCAAAACCTTCCGTTAGATCATATATATATATATATATATATATATATATATATATATATATATATATATATATATATATATATATATATATATATATATATATATATTTAATCCGACAATTTTATTACTTCAAACCTTAAGCACGCCGGATCAAACGGGGTTTTCTCTATAATGGAGGACGTTGGATCGATCCCTGCCACAGAATTTCTCGAATGCGCAGGCCGATAGATGTAATATACATCTTTTAATAAATAAAAATGTTTTGGCTATATTAAATACAAAACATCCACTAAAAAACGTTTGAACGTATATATATATATATATATATATATATATATATATATATATATATATATATATATATATATAACGATATAATAGGCCAAGTTTACTTGTAAGACATTTTATCTGTAAGGTCTGTAACTTTTTGCTGGATCAAGAGTTATCTCCTTTGTGTCAGCAACGCTATATCAATGACAGACCTTTACAAGACGTTAGAGAATCGGAGGCGAAAAGACAGACTCTGTGAAAGAGCAGAGTACAACAATAATAAAAATTGGAAAATATATTTAAAGAGATAACCTAACAACAACAACAACAGCAACAACAACAACAACAACAATAATAATAATAATAATGACTTAACAAAATATGTTATCAAAGGTAAACTATTGTATATATGTATCCACAAAAACAAATCGCATGTGAAATGTGCACAAAAAATGTTCGTAATATTTTCATCATTGAAATAAAACTGTTTTCTAAAGATGAACTAAAGCGTTATTATTTCTTCTTTGTCTATTTGAAAAAGATATTCACAGCATCTCATTGCAAATAGTATATGTAATTTTCTATTTTGTCTCATTTCACTTGAATTTAAGTTTCTAGTTTTATATAAAATGGATTTGAAAATATTTTATTGTATTAATGAATTTCTGAAACATTTCATAGATTTCTAGTGTGTTCAAAAGTTTTTCAAATCGTAACAAACAATCCAATATAGGTACAATACTGAATCCAGGAATTTATTCATCTGCATTTACTCTATTCAGTATTTGTTAATTAATATATCTGTATGCAAATTATTAATTATACTATTAAATTAGAAGTACAGCTCTATGTATTTTTAAATTTAATTTTTAATTATATTCTAAAATACTTATAAAACTTTCAACCTGGTAAAAGAAATCCAATATATCTTTTTTATATCTGTTAATTTAGTTCTAGATAATTAAAAACAATTTCCTTAGATTCCCCCATTAGAAATCAATAATAATAAAAATCAAAATTCAATAAACGATAATGATACTTTTTTAAACAATCAATACAATTTGTTCAGATAGCGTGTTCATTCTATTTAAATATCTAATATCTGATAAAATTCTTTCGTTTTTTTTTAAATTTTTCTATCGCTTTTTTTTTATTTTATTTCTGTTCGAACTGATCCACCGTTAGTGTGATACTCCTAGATGATTCAAATTAATCCATTTATCCACAATAATCCATCTAGCGATGATGAGGATAGTTGGATGGAGAATATCCGCTGAATGGGTCCCAATAAGAATAAACCTGTACGTCGCATGACTGCAGATGAATTGTATGGTCTAAAAATAAAGAAATTCTTCAGAAATTGACTCACAAATACTTTCAGATTTGATATTGTGTTCATAAATATCTATTTTATTTTTCTTTCATTTCCTCTTTATGCCCTAATTTTTTTCTGCATTTATTTTCTGAATTTATTTTTTTGCATTTATTTTCTGAATTTATTTTCTACATTCATTTTTCTACATTTATTTTCTGAATTTAATTTTTTTCCATTTATTTTTCTGAATTTATTTCTACATTTATTTTCTGAATTTTATGCGCAGCTGTTTTTGTGTTTTGCTTCTCATGCAAAAATAACTTTTTTCCGAGTTGAAAGTTCGATAAACTTAAAAATTAAGGGTTTTAGCAGAAGAGAAAAAAATTGCGTCTTGTCATAAAACTTGTTATAAGCAGGAAGTCGATTTCTGTAGAAATAAATATCAATTCTTCGTTTTATACACGTGTAAGAACAGAGGAAAATACGTACACAAACCTAAATATTTGCTTCTCTGCATATTTATACTGGCAAGCATGTACATATATTGGAATATAGTACAATTTAAGTATTTGGTGGTAAACATACTATATATACACATGATAGTAGGTTGATGTCATATCTCACTGCTTGTAAGGTACAATAGCTGCCATGGTAGGATTACTTTAAAATATTTACTTGTTTCTTAGAGTAAACATATGCAGCAATATACGCGCAT